CGAGGGACCGATTACCTATATATATTTTCAATTCATGGGGCCTACTTTCTAAATCTAAGATTTTGGCAGTGTTGAAAACTGTTTTCAATTCCTCAAGTTTCCTAACATCCTCTTGATCATTCTCAGGAACCTTCTCGGGACTTAACCCACCACAGGGATTAGTTTTCTCGTTCCAGTACAAGGGATACCCTTTAAATAAGTCCTCGTTGCCAGGCGTACAACAAACTCGAAAATAAGATTTCTTGAAGTCCTTATAGGACGATTGAAAAAGGGTCAAAATTCCCCGACCTGATACCCCATGGACGGACACCCAACCACTGCGTTTATTGACATGGCTTTCGAAAAAATAAAAAAACTTCTCTGTAGTCGGTATTATACCGAGACCCCCACATAAAACTTCAAAAGCTCGGACAAATGCCCAACTATTGGGGTGCAATTGAGTAGGTGCCACATTCAAGGTGCTCAGGACCCCCTTTTGGAAATCGGAAAGTGGCCACCTAACCCTAAGTTTAGAAGAGCAGAGAGGCGATTAGACAATGATTCGATCCCTTTAGAAATGGAGAATGAACTCATCTTCTCCAAGTCCCCCTTATCGTCGTCGAGCAAGTCGGTGCAGCGAATATGAGCAGCGTGGTTGAACTTCTCATCCCAAAACGACGCGACGCCGCTACGCTCATGGCCATGATCCACTGGATCCCAGTTTTCGCCGAGGCAAGCACTAATAGTCTTTTCAGCAGATTGGACCTCGGTATCACCCTTATCAACCTCGGTGGCTACCACTGTTTCCAGGTTCACTACCGAGACGGATTTCTCGCCCTCGCGCCGACGCTTGTGGGAGGATTCGCCAACACCCCTAGCCACAGTCACAGGCCTCTCGGTCTCCACACCCTTCTCGGTCGCCGATTCGCCGACCCCAGCAACTTGGGAAGCTTTCTGTTGCTTCCAGAGCTTGGCCAATTCCCGATTGCTCATACTCGCCATCTTATCTGCACAATAATCAAATAAGAAGTACGTTCTAGCGTAAAAATAAAGCATCACAATAACATACAAAGGGTGATCGGCGAGGGACCGATTACCTATATATATTTTCAATTCATGGGGCCTACTTTCTAAATCTAAGATTTTGGCGGTGTTGAAAACCGTTTTCAATTCCTCAAGTTTCCTAACATCCTCTTGATCATTCTCAGGAACCTTCTCGGGACTTAACCCAGCATAGGGGTTAGTTTTCTCGTTCCAGTACAAGGGATATCCTTTAAATAAGTCCTCGTTGCCAGGCGTACAACGAACTCGAAAATAAGATTTCTTGAAGTCCTTATAGGACGATTGAAAAAGGGTCAAAATTCCCCGACCTGATACCCCATGGACGGACACCCAACCACTGCGTTTATTGACACGGCTTTCGAAAAAATAAAAAAAATTCTCTGTAGTCGGTATTATACCGAGACCCCCACATAAAACTTCAAAAGCTCGGACAAATGCCCAACTATTGGGGTGCAATTGAGTAGGTGCCACATTCAAGGTGCTCAGGACCCCCTTTTGGAAATCGGAAAGTGGCCACCTAACCCTAAGTTTAGAAATTAAAGTTGCATAGCAAAATGTAAAAGTTTCAGCAGCATCACCCCTAACACACACAGGTTCCCTGTCCACACAAGGCTCACAAACAAGCACATTATCCTCAATGCACACCACATGCTCCCTACCAAAACTATCCATTTCGGCCCACGAATTCATTAAAGATGTGCAACGAAGCACATCACCTTTAACCCACTTATACATATCCCCATAACTTATGGCCTCCATGGCATAAGCAGATTTGGACTTAAAAGGGGAACTAAGGGTTCTCTATAAACAAGAAAGGCCAAAGGGGGTTAGATAGGCGTACCTAAAGACACAAAAACAACTCCTTTCAATTAACAAAGGCCACCAAAACGCCGTACACCACCGCGCACCACCGCAGTTCAAAGCGGAGCAGAGGATCTCACCGGAGAAGAGAGTGCAAACAGAAAGAAAGGCAAATGAAGGTCATCCCTATTTATAAGAGACCAAGGATCGCGTGTAAGGGGGAGAACCCAAGGGTCACAGCGCGCGTGGAACGTTG